AGAGAGAGAGAGAGAGAGTTCTTCTTCTTCCTCTTCTCAGTCCGCCATCTCCCCCTCACCCTCTCGCTACCTGACTTCACTGCATCAGCAGACTAAGAGAGAGTGGGATTGGTGACTTTAGGATCCAGACTCGACATTGGGCTTCAGACATTTGACGAGGGATTATCTGGGACTTGTACTGAAGACTTGGTGTTGACGACATTCCCATCTTCCCGGGACTTCCCCCTCTTCTTCGTCTTATCCCTTCCTCTTCGTCTGTGTATGGTCTGGACCTGGCACATTCTTCCTGTGTGTAGCGCCAGGCCCCTTCACACCTTGTGGTGAGGATGATGTATGTTTGGTCTGCATTCCGACATTGATTGGGCTAGTCATTCTAGCATTCCGCTGCGCTGTCTTGTACTACGTGAGAGAGGTCAGTCCCGGTCAGGTCAGGGCTTATATCTAAGTCTTCCGCTGCGCTACAAGGTGCCATTTTGTATGTACCAGGATGTACATTACTTATTGAGATTCCACTGACACCGCATTGTCCATTTAGTCCTTTTTATCACATTGCGGATCCTTGGCTATACATACATTGACCAACTGGGCATGTAACACACCCACAAGCAGAAAGGCAGATGGTAGAGGGAGAGAGAGAGAGAGAGAGAGAGAGAGAGAGAGAGAGACGCCGAATAACAAGACCACACTGGTTAGAACGAGAAGGCATTGAAGTTCAAGAGTCTCAGAGATAAGAAGGACAAATGACTGAGAGGAGGATAGCATTCACCAGACGGCAGATGACGTTACTTGAGGGAGAGGCATGATGAGGGGGGAGGGACCAATCACTCGTTGGCCTATGGCAGGGAGGGTAGAATGCAGGCATCAACCAAATATTGTAAAGAGGATCTCAGAAAAGGATATCCCTCAGCGGATTATAGCATAACTCGGGGAAGAAGGATGATGAGGGGGGGACCAATCGCTCATGGGCCTACGACAGAGAGGGTAGATCATAATACTCAACCAGATAATATTGCAAAGAGAAGACATACTACGAGGACAGCAGGATGCATCTACCTCAGAATAACTCTATGTTGCATTGGGAGTCTCCCGGCTACGGGCGGTCATCCAACGGTGCATCTACGATGATGGGATGCACGAAGGGAGGGAGGCTGGCTGGCTGGCTGTCTAGGGGCCACAGTGCCGTTCCTCGTGTTTCTACCTCTCATTTTCAGACTGTTATGCTTGCTGGTGATAATCTACTGGACTGGCACGTGCGTGTTGCGTGTTAAGAAGAAGAAGAAGAAGAAGAAGAAGAAGAAGAAGAAGAAGAAGAAGAAGAAGAAGAAGAAGAAGAAGACGACGACGACGACGACGACGAAGAAGAAGAAGAAGAAGAAGAAGAAGAAGAGGAAGAAGAAGAAGATAAATTCAAGAGAATCATGGGAGATGATGCAGGGCTTTACAGGGTACTAGATTTGCTTGGTAACCTATACATTTTCAAGGAAAGCCATTTATCAAGTTAACCAGTAAGAGTCTGAACTTCTCTGAATGGGGGGACAAGTATACAAGAGGAAGAAAATTAACTTGAATGAAGATCTGCTTTAGCCTTTAGAAGATGCGAGGGCCGAACATGAGCACATGGTCAGGATAGATAGATGGTCTGTTAACTGACGTTTCTTTGAAACTGCCTTTTTTTTTTTTTTTTTGGGAAAATCACGAAATTGAATGTAGTGAAAATTGTTTAGATTTTTTTTGGGGTGTAAAATAGACTTAAATGGTGACTTCCATTTTTTGTATTGAGCAACTGATGTCTACTCTCACTCAAGAGTCAATACCAAACGGAAGTCAAAAAAAAAAAAACCGGAGATTTAGTTAGAAGTTAGAACTGACACTTTCCTTGGTAAAATCACGAAATTGAATTCAGTGAAAATTGACTAGAAAAAAAAAAAAAAAAAAAAAAGACTAGAATTTCGTGTGTTCCCTGTGCAATTTCCTACACGGCCCTACGGTGTCGCTCAGCCATAGGGTTGATGCATGATGGGGATTCAGAAAAGGAAAAGGTCGCATTTGCAAGGAGGGAAAATGGAGAAAACCCCGTCAGCTAGTGGAATACTTTTGAAACGAGAAGAAGAACAATATGACCGAGAGTTAAACTTTGCGTTGTGCTCACTCACCCCTTTTTCATCCACACGTCCATGATCGCGGTGAAGATCCCACTGAGGCTCTCGGCATCAAAAGACGTGCCCCAAACCACACAGAAATGGCGTAGATATCGATGTGTGACATGATGGCGTCCGCCACCGGGAGGCCCCATTGCTGCAACCCATCGGATATCCTGAATCTCCCTGAAAGAGAATCCAGATCCCCCTTTAGTGCTGCCTGAAGTTGGCAGGCCTCCACTTTGAAACTCTCTTGCCGTGGTCGGGGCCTCTGTGGGGGGAGCCACACTGGGAAGACTGCCATGCCGAGCAGTGATGTCGCCGCCGTCTATACAAGAAGGAAGATTGGTTACCAGATGGGAGGCAGGCTGGTCATCGGTCTCGTACCACCCACCTTGGTCGACGCATTGGCGCAGAAGTTCGATGGGCGGCTGCGCGCCCGACCCGTTAGGCTCGGGGACAGGCAGACTCAAGTCGTCAATGAACACCTGCAAAACCAAGCACGAGATGAACGTGAGTATATATTACTGCATTAATTACTATATTCAAGTTGTGCATATGAAGCTTCATTGCTGACAGAAACCTACAGGCCATGTTTGTGAACCGCTATGCTTCCCTTCTCTCCCACAGGCAAATACCGTATAAGGGTTTTTTGTTGGGTTGTAGAAATGACCGTGCTGAGTCAGTACAGCCCCCATACTTATGGAGAAGCTGTATGTACTATGACACCTGGAAAAGAGAACATAATACGAAATATATCTAGTACGGGAAATCGTTACGACAGTGGCGGTGGGGATTTGACGAAATGTGTGAGAGGAGTCGTCGAGTGTAGTAGGATCGGCCAGGCTGAGCTCGTCAGAGATCAGACTGACGGGTCACTAACCATTGCCAGCTTGCCGAATGGAGGCCCGTAGACATGCTTTCTCCTGCGATGAAGCCTCGTGCTGATGATGTCTTGTGTCTGCCTGCAAGTGGTTTGCGCCGAAAACGTGGTGATGATTGGCATGTCAAACTGTTCTCGGCCTCCCTTCTGCATCAAGAAAGTCTTGATATAAACAGACTTGCCAGTACCTGTGGGGCCGACAAGGAGAAGTGGATGGTATGGGCCCGTCGGCGGACCGCCGAGGAGAGTGTTCAAGAGAAACCTGCAGCGTGCTGTGTCCGTCGTGGGAACAATAAGCGATGGATCCTCCGCTGAGATCGGCACGGGGAGTCTATCCACAGTATTAATCCAATCTGTCCACTTCAGCCTTGACATTTCAAAGCCATAGCTGTATACAAGCTTTTCTGCGGGAATGGGCGCTGCAACCTGCACACAGACAGCCGAAGAGCATAAACCGGACATCCGCGGTGCGTATAGAGTTAACTCGTAGTACGTGGATAACACAAAATTCGAAATGCGCGCTTTGCCGCTTTTTTTTTTCTTTCTTTCCCCCCATGCCCCCTCTCCTCCAAACCGTACGTGCAACTTGCTTACAGCTTCCCAAGCAGATCTTACAAGGCCATATTCCCCACACTCCCTTTTTGTTTGTTTGTTTTTAATAAAAAAACGGTGATGTCCCCYCCCCCCCCCCCACCCCACCCCCCCAAAAAAAAGGGAAAAAAAGGTGATGTCCGGCAATTGCATCAAGTTCGCAGCCAGGAGGCTGCGCCTTGTGTTCGCAGCCAGAGGCTGCGCTTACCTCGACGGTTCTTTTGTCGTTTTGTGGAGTTTCTTTTTCGGGAAATGTCGTGGACGTCAAATGAGGTTTGTCGGGGTCTTTTCGGGGTTTAGGCAAAAGTGCAAAGGGTGCGGTCGCGGCTAGGAGACGGACCGGTAGTGTGGCTGGTCGTGCTAGGCTTTGGGTAGTGTACGTCTAGTGGTCGTTTCATTAGGTAGTTCAGGTTTGTTGGGGGCGGCGACCCGGTTTCCTTTTTGGGTGAGGAGAAATGGTTTGGGGATGGGTGGAAAACGGGCAGCAGGGGGTCATCAATGTGTTCACGACTCAATCTTTTTCCGGTTGCTTCACTTTGTTTTGGGTTGGGTGCCAACAAACAAAAATGGGGAGCAGGGGGTGGGTCATGAAAGTAGTGACGACTCAATCCTTTTCCAGTTCGTGTCCTTGGCCTGGGGCGTTTCTGCTTTTGTTTTTTTTTTTCAGTTTCAACTGCATCTCCCCAGAAATATGGGAAGCACTCGTCTGTTTACTGCTATGAAGTATTGAAAAACGAGAAGGGAGTGCCCTGCCTTGTTGGCAGGGCTTACTAAAAAAAAAGGCAAAAAAAGAGCTATCGAGATCTAGGGCCTCGCTCCACGACTCACCCAATGTGCAAAATGAGAATGAATAGTCCCGTAGAACATGGGTAGATACACGTCAAGTAGTTCAGAGGTTGAAATGGCATTTTGCCTTTGTTTTTTTTTGTTTGTTTTTTCGGAAGAAGAATGTCTTCTGTTTCTCACGTGACTCCGCGGGGGGAGCAATCTATGGGCCTCATGCAAAAGGAGAATCAATTTTCCGCTAGAACATGGAAAGATGCACGGCCATGATTTGTGTCTTTTGAGCATCTCGAGAGTAGTGGGAGGACGCCCTATTGCTTTGTCACCCCCCTTCTTTTCAAGGCATTCTCACGCAGCCCTGTCCACAATCCCCTTCTTTTCAAGGCATTCTCAGGAAGCCCTGTCCACAATGCATCTGACTGTACCTCTGGCCAGGCATGAGGTGGTACGACAAGGCCTCAGTAGCTTGCTATTCATTTTTAAACTTTTTTTTTTTCTTTCTTTCCTTTTTCTTATTTTTCTTTCTTTTTTATTATTTCTTTATTTTTCTTAGGGTGTTTTAGAGGCCAAGGACCAGACCCGCGGTGATTCCTGGTAGCGGCAGCCAATGGATGTCCTGACAGGATAGGCCACC